CCGAGGGCCGCCCAGCCAGCTGCCTGTGCTTCGCCCCACCCCGGCGGTCCCCGCCTTGCCCGGGCGGCCTCCGCCCAGACGCCTTCCCCGAGCTGACCTCCATCCGCCTTCGGGCCAGGCTTGGAGGACTCGCCAAAGTTCCGGCGAAACCGCGAGAAAGCATTTTGTCCCTACTTCTCAGCCTCCCTCCCTACCAGACCGCTCTCTCGGTTCTAAGTGGGAGGGAGAAAATACATGTTTCGACAGTGTATACTGAGAGGTTTTTGTTTTGAAAGGGAACATGAGACCAGAAAAGATACGACTTAAGTAAGAGCTTCCGGCTGTGACCCTCAGGGTGGTCTTCCTGGTCGGTGTTCCCAGGATAGGCAATTAGCATACAGAACTCTGCCGAGCTGCTCCGTCACATTTCGAAACACCAAGAAATCCCCTTTTCTCCACCCCCACCGCAAGAGCAGGAACTGAAATAGTCCACCAAGTCGCAAAGCACAGAATTTAGAAGACTAAAGCTTTGTCCCTTTTTCTCTTTTTTCCCATTTTCGAACAATTGCTTCTCGTTTTACCTTTTCGAGGTCGCTTATAATGGGGTCCACATTTGGAACCGACCTTAGTTTTTTTCCCCCTCTTTTCCTCCCAATGGGCCTACTAAAGGTCACAAGCCTCTACTTCCCTCCACTCTGAAGTTCCTGTCCTTACTGCCCCATTGCCTCCATCTCAGTGCTCCCAGGTCGTGCCCCCTCTCCCAGGTCGTGCCCCCTCTCCCACCCCTCTACCTTCCGCTTCTTGACTGCCTCCTTTCCTGAACATGAATAATTCCGCAGCACTTCCCATCTGTTATTGCCATAGAGACAGAAGCTCGGCAAAGATAATGATGTTCTGTGCAGAGCCTGTGGGGGGAGAACAGCATCTGCGAGTCTGGGGGATAGATTTTCGAACCGGGAGAACATTCAGAAGGCCCGGCTGAAAAGCCGATGTGGAAGACTGGACGGTCCTGAGACTGAGCATCCAGTCAACTCTCGGCACCTGCTCGTGCCTAGCGAGAAGAAACAATTTTTAGAAATCAAAATGACAGATTTTTTTTTTTTTAAAAAGTGATTCCAAACTGTAGTTAATGATACAGTTTAGTACTTATTTTATCAGCCATAAAAACAATTACTTGCTAACATGTCCAATGGCATAATGACGACATAAATTGGACAGTAAATAAACTTTTAAGAAATCAAACACGTTATCCCCGCCCCTCTTCTTTTGATTTGCTTTCCCCAGGAATCTGTTTTTGAGGGAAGGCTCTTTTGTGCCAATGATTTTATGTACAATTGTTTGAGAAATAGTGACAGGCAAATGTGGCTAGACCCAAAAAGGCTTTAAGGACTTTTTTTTTTGTTTCATTATACATCAAAGTATAAAATGTACCAAATTAAAATTCACTTTGCCCTTCAATTCCCAAGGTCTTGGCCTCAAAAGTACAGCTTTGAATGCAAGTGAAACTAAACAGGGTCATTTACATAAATCTTATGCAGGTGGGGAGGCTCACACATTTTTTGCAGGCCTACTGAAGGATTTTCAGAAATTATCAATAGAGTTGTATAACATGAATTTAAAACACTGAAACAAATGATAATGGTTCTTTATCTCAGAAACAATTGAACGGACACATAGAATACAGGCCTTAGAAGAATAAGCACTGTGAGGTAATTAATGTTGTAATTCCCACATACTGATGGTCTACATTGGTTATGAGAAGTCAACTTAAGTATTGGTTAGTAAATGGCAATTAGATGGGTTTGCATGGACTCCTACCACACTTTCTTGCCTGCCAGCAGATGCTAAGTAAGGCCACTTTGAGAGTGTGTGCCTGTGTGCATGTAAGAATTCCAAATGAGTGGGGGTTGGTGGGGAAACCCTAACCATTGTCTCATCTTCCACTAAGTAGTACAGATAAAAGATCCAAACTAACTGGTACTAGGTTGTCTAGAATTTCTTATTCAGTAGTTATAGCCGTCTGGTAATAATAGAAACTAAGAACTTAGAGGTTATAAATTCCAAGACCAGTTCTGCCCTCTGACCTGACAAATGGTTTGAGGCAAATGCTTTCTTTCCTCTTGTCCCATTTACTGATCTATTAATAAAGACCTAATAGTAATTACGAAGAATATAAAAGCAAAAAAGGTAGGGTAAAATGCATACATTCAATGTAAAGTATTTTTATGTTTATGAAGGAGGGGAAAGAAAAGTCAAATAAATGTTTATCTAGCATACAAACACTGGCTTGTGTTTTTGTTTACACCTTCTGGTCTTTTCTGAGGAGAGAAACCAGTTGTAGCTTGATGATTCTAGTGCTTCGCCCCCTTCCTTGATCCTCAACAAAAAACTTTTTCGAAAAACTTTTTCAGCAGCAAGTCAAATGCTACAAAATCCTTCGATTTCACAAAAGAATCTCAACTATTTCCTTTTCCATCTCATTTTTTTTCTGTAGCTTTTCACTTATTTCTACTTGTCAGAATTATGATGATGACGATGCTTTTTAACTTCCTCATAGCACTTTAATCTTTTTCCTACCTATCCTCTTCCCCCGTGCACTTTACTCCCCACATTAGTTTAGTGTTGCTGTCCCGGTCAGTGCAAAGTTCCTTCCTGTTATTGACAAGGCTTTCTCCTCAGGGCTACTTTCTCCTCTTAGCTATCACGTCAATATTGGATCTACAAGATCCCAATTCCCATTTTCATGCTTTAAATAAGATGAGAACCAGATGCTTAAAAACTATTAACCCCCTCTTCCTGAATAGTGTCACACAGCTGTTTTTCAGGTTTTAACTTGGGCTCTATGAAATTGGAAGGGGAGTAAGAAGAAGGAAGCAAAAGGAATAGCCAGAAATGGTAAAATAGAGAAATATTATGTTAGAAATCGTTGAATTTTCAATGTTTAAATTGCAATAAACTGTAAAGTCAATGTAACAGATGCATTAAGAGTATTTCACTGTCAATTCTAGGAATTTCATGAGAGTTTAGAAAATTTGGCAAAGTTTGATTTATTGCAAATCAGAGAACTTCCTCTGTTTTTCCCCCAAAAAAAGGAGGAGGGGAGTCATATTTAGTTCTGATGTTCCCAAGCTATGATTTGAAACCTGCTAGTTGAGAAGTGTTGTCTAATATGTACGGCTGGACTATAAAAGTAGTTCAAAGTGCTTCACAGTTTCCTATGAGATACATATGAGAAATTCCCTTTTCTTTATTAATTTATTTAACTTATTAAAAGAGAAGTAGAGGCAGAGTTTGGGTTACATGCCAACCGCTTTGCTAATCAGCAGCAGAGCGGGCGTTAAAACCAAATGCATTTGACCCACATAAGTGAAGCTTCCATTCTTCATTTTCTCACTACTCTTCATGTTCATTCAAGTAAGCTGTAAGGACTAATTCGAATTAGCCAAAACAGAGCAAATATTGAAACATATAGGGTAGGTAGCATTGTACCAAGCTCTGTGGTGTATTTATCACAACCTATGATAATTCTTACCCTTACTAATGTGCAATGCTCTCTGATATTTTATTCTGTTCTATTCTGTTCCTTTATA